AAAAAAAAAAAAAAAAAAAACACGTTGGATCTAGAGTCTACACTCTTAAAAACATCGATAAGAAAAAATACTTTTGACACAATCGGATTTTTGCTTAAATCAAGAAACAAGCCTCTTCATTTGAGCGGATTTCCTTTTGATTGAAGCAAAAATCTGATTGTACCAAGAGTATTTTTTCTTGTCAATGTTTTCAAGAGTCTGGACTCTAGATCCAATGTGTTTTTTTTTTTTTTTTTTTTCTTCCAGTGCACATTGGATCTAGAGTCCAGACTCTTGAAATCATTGACGAGAAAAAATACTCTTGATTCAATCGGATTTTTGCTTGAATCAAAACGAAATCCGCTTATAGTAGGAGGCTTGGTTCTTGATTTAAGCTAGATTCTGATTGAATCAAGAGTACTTTTTCTTGTCGATGTTTTTAAGAGTCTGGACTCTCGATCCAATGTGTTTTTTTTCCAGTGCATGAAAAAAACTCCAAATCCGAAGAGCTTTGTCGCACTTTGAACGAAAGTTCTGATTCGTCGAACGAGTTTCGCGAAACGGTACCGCTACTCCGGGCCTGACCCCCGGACTCAACTCGGAGGTGTCATTACCCGGAGCGCGAAATTTACGACTCCCGGTGTCAAAGACACCGAAGCGTAAATTCCCGGCCGGCAATGACGGTGCGAACCGCTCCTAATTGGATTTGGCTCGGGCGCTAATCGCGGGGCCGCTCGGGGGGATGAACGGGGGGCGCAGGGGGGATGAAGGGGGGGCGCAGGGGGGTCGGGATGCTCCGCCGATCGCAGGTGCCCGTAGTAGTGCGGTTGAGATAATTGTTATTTTTGTGCATTCCACGCTCGAGAGTGCGACGCGCATCGGGGCGCGATGCTCGCGCCTATATTTATAGTCGCGCCCGCTCGCGTACCCAGGAAAAACGCCGTATGAACATTCGAGAGTTGCCAAATTTCCTCCGACAAAATGTTTATTATCGAGGAAAATTATGGATGTTTCTACTTGGAATTTTCAGAGGTTTTAGATCGAATTACAAGGAAAATTATCTGAGAAATTGGCGGGAAAATATTTAAAAATTTTCCTGTAAATGTGTGATTTGCCTGGAGAAATTTGGCAACGCCTGAGGGCTCATACGGCGTTTTTCTTTAGCACGGCAGTATGCGTACGTCCAGCGCGCTCGACGTTTCATGAGTCCGGAGCGAGAGGCCCGCGCATCTTCGGATCCTTTAATTCAGGGTGTCTCCCGTCAGTACAAACCATTGCTCTGATTCCATGTCCGTCCAAAGTTCCGGGATCCGGACTTTTTTGTTCCGATTTCTCCCACTCAGTAACCGTTCAAAGTGTCGGGGTTCTTTTTAGATTTTTTCCCAAGTTCCAAGAAAGCTCCGGGAAATGCAAAAGATCCGGAAAATTTTGGGAATTTTGAAAGTTCCGGGAAAAATTTAGGAAAATCCATAAAGTTCCGGAATCCGGTACGAATTCCGAGAGGTGGGTGGCCCCTGTGTTCGGAACGCGTACGGTGTGTTATCATAGCCCGTAAGCACGGCTTCCACGGCCGGAGTTTTTTTTTTCAGTGTACGATCCCTTTTGTCTTCCCTTTCGTCACCTTTGTCCATAGCTTTGTGTATCAATTACAACAGTCAGTCCGCTGTGGCTCGTAAAGAGGCATCCCTCCATATCCCCTTCATATTCTTTGTCTATAGCTTTGTCTATAGCTTTGTCTATCAATTTCAACCATCAGCCAGCTGCGGCTCATCAAGAGGCATCCCTCTGTATCCTTTCCGTCTTCTTTGTCTATAGCTTTGTCTATCGCTTTGTCTATCAATCTCAAGAATCAGCTCCCTGCCGCTCGCGAGGAGGCCGCTCGCGAGGAGGCACCTCGCCGTCTCGAGGCGCGGGATCTTCACCATCTTCACAGTCGATGGAACAAGGCGGCTCCTCGACGCGGGCCGGAAATGGGCCATTTCCGGGTCCCGCGCGAGCCGGAAATGTCGAACACCTTGCCACAAATTGTGCCGCCCCCCTCCCCCTCTCCCCGGGCGGGGGCGGGGGCCGCATGCCGCATGTGCAGCACGCGAACCCATGCGTGAACCTGTTTATTTATTAACACTCGATTCAATTATGACGTCGGCGATTATGACACCGCTACCACGGCTGCGGGTGCCTCCTGGGGGGAACCGCGTATGTCGGAGGGAGACTCTATGGAGATGTGCGGTTTTTGCGCAGCGTGGCGCTTCCGAGGGAGGGCCCTGATTTTTATTGAGTCGCGCCGCCCTTCCAAGGGCGGAGTCACTGTTCGTGCGTTTCCTTTGTCGGTATCGAGCTTTCACCGTGGGAACTTTTTTTTTCATAAGGACTTGTGTTCATAATCGTGCTTTAAACAGTGCCTTTCCTTAGCGATGCCTCTCGTCGTTTCTTCCTGACAGCGGGATGATTGTTGAAATTGATAGACAAAGCGATAGACAAAGAAGATAAGGGGAGTATGGAGCGATCCTATTGGTTGAAATTGGTTGAAAGTGGTTCCTGTGTAGACCAAGGGAAAAGATGATTGACTAACTATATGGACTGTATTTTGCAAACAGGAACCAGGAGCAATGCCATATTGCTAAGATTTTGCAACTTCACCCTTTGCAATAAAACTACGGTAGGTAATCATGCAAAAATGTGAAATTTATATGGTAATTTTTGTCTTAAATTTAGAGATTTTAGCGTTTAGAATAGAAAATGTTTAGATGATCAGAGTTTTTCTTCCAAGACAAAAGGAATTGCACAATCTTAGCACCATTGCAATGCTCTTGGTTCCTTTTTGCAAAATGCAATCCATATGGTCTCTCGTGGGTTGTCGTTAGTTAGTCCATCGCAACCATCTGCTTCCACTAACAGGACCATGACCTACCCTCCGTATCCATTGTATCTTCTTTGTCTATAGCTTTGTCAATCAATTTCAACAGGATCCCTCAATATCCATTTTTTCTTCTTTGTCTATGGCTTTTCTCTCAATGTCAACAATCAGTAACTTTCACCAGCGTTACTTTGGGAATAGATCGCTCTTAAAGGGATTCTAAAGATAATAAACTACAAATCAAAAATCATTCTTTCATTTTCAGAGTGGTGATTCTTCAATGTTTGCAACTCTTATATTTGTTTAATTTTTTTTTTGGGTTGATGTCGTATCACGGTAACTTGTCAATTGATGTGAAATTTGTTTTGTCTTGTTTTAGATTAACCGGTTCAGGATCCGACCTCGGGGGCCTACTATCGCGGAGGGGTGCTGGGGGGGTTTTGCCCCCACACCCCCACGCACAAGGTCCCGCTGAATACCACTCTGCCTACCATTCTTACATGGATCACCTCTACTCCTCCTTATCTGCAAGCTCCACTGCTCCAATCCATGGTAATTACATTTTCCGTTTCATCGCACACTCCTCACACTAACCACATGCTATCTCTCAAAATGTCAAATTGATTGCATATGCGTAGGTGGAAGAGGGAAACCAACTAGATTTCAGTTTTTTTTTCTTCTTTTTTTTTTCAAAATCTTGCAAATTTTATAACCGCACATTGAACCAATGTTTTTCAAAGCAAAGAAGTTTACGCGATTTTGAATCTCGTCAGTTCTCTTCTGGTAAATGGAATCCAAATGAAATAGCTAGGAATATGGTAGTGTTCATGACATCCTGGAAATACCTCAAAGAAAATTTATTTTAATTTTCTTTGAATTTTCAAGTCATCGAATTCTCTTTAATATTGATGATATGTTGAGGTATTATATTATTTCAAATGCTAAAATGAAACCGGCAAATGCATGACCTTATTAGGGACTCTATCTTTTATGATATTGACTAGAGAAACCTTTGAGTTCAAATGGATCTTTTAATTCCTCAATTTTCTTTTAAATTCGGAGCATCCGGAACACGATTAAATCACCGAAAAGTTGTAAGCTACATGGAACTACGTGAATGAATTAATTCAAAAGGTACTACGTATACAGGAATGGCTCGACCCTCAGTTCCTTTTGACTTCAATCGTTTGAACATATAGTTCCTTTTAGCTTAAACATGTCCACTTACATTCATAAATCAGGCTGGTCTCAATCTGTTGCGGTCACGTGACCTCTCACACGCTTGTTGTCCGTCGTTGAAGCGAAACTACAGCAAATGTGCATCCGTCACAAAACAACGCTTAAGCTTGTAATTGCCCGCTGAAATATATTTTTCGAATCGCCATTAAATCTTGGTCGCACCTCCAATGGACGGTCTGTTGACACCTGACTATTCCGCATTTCATACCCGGCACGTCTCGGCGTACTTAGCGATGTATCGATTGATCTGCCATTTAAACCTATGGAAAAGGATCGATAAATAAGGTGTTCGCAACGAACACCGTAATAATCGATTCTTTACCAAAGCTTCATATGGGGAGATATCGATAATCGATCATTCACGCCTCGCCATTGATGCGGAGATCCGCCCATCTGAGGCCCTCGATCGCGTTTGAGTCTGCGGACATTATTATACCACTTACGTGGTTTTGGCATGACGCTGTCGAATTGTTACTGTTCGTTCCGCCGAATCACCGCAACAATACTCATAAACTTGGACGTTTTACGCATGCGCTGGACTAGACATCGACCTCTCGCGGTTCGAGCCATCGAACTTTAACGGAGTTGCCAGTGTTGTCACCTTTTGAAATTCCCAAGATTTCCTCCTGACTCCTAAACTTTGGCATCGACTTTTCACTTTCTCGCTCCCCCAGGGTAGAGGAAGTATTATCATCCTGCAAGGGGGAAAAAGTTGAAATTTCATCATTTCTAGACGTTTTAAGGTCCCAGGAGTCAAAATAACCATACTTGAAAAAAATGTGTCCGTCCGTCAGGCGTCCCCCAAATCTGTGTACAGCGATATCTCAGAATCTATGTGTTCGATTTCATTCAAAATTTGCACAGAACACCATATCTATGGTCTCCTTGTGCACGTCAAACGATTTTGGGGTACGCTAAAATTTGGGGGGGGGGGCTAAGGGTCAAGGTCCATTTTTAGCAAAATCACACGGGAAGCTCATTTTGAAGGACTGTAAATTTTGAAAAATGCCTTTAATTCTTTAAAAGTGGGCATCAAGCACATCACCTGAGTCATTTTTTTTTCAAGGAAAAGACGAATTTGGTAATGCTCCGAGTTTCCCTAATTTCCTTCAACCCTTCCACCGTACGGTACGAGGTGTATCCTTGTCGATAAGGGCTATCGATATCGAAACTCGATAGATCGAACTCCAGGCGATTGGGCAAAACGAAACACGTGCATGACTGCGTTCCAGCGCGACTTGGTGGGAAATTTTATTTGCGGTGACTCCGACCGCACTGCCGTGATAGCGAAGAGAGCAGTAAGTGCATTGCTGTATGAGTCACGATTAGCACATGCTTTTATGTGTCTCGAGGTTCATCTCGGCGTGCACTTACTGCTCTCTTCGCTATCACGGCAGTGCAGGCTGGCTTGGACCGAGAGTGCCTCAATAAATCGTGCGTAGGCATCGACGTAGCGGCTTAATAAAGTAATAATACGCTTATTGGACGCGTTTATGCTGGAAGGAACTAAGTGCACACGGATTGCGTGTGACGTAGTTCCTTTCAGCATAAATACGTCCTATTCGCTGTCAGACGCGCTTTCCAGTTATGGTCTTTTGCAGTGGCGAGGCGTGAATGATTGATTATTATCGAAAGTTCTCCATTTGGAGCTATGGTAAAGAATCGATTGTTAAGGTGTCCGTTGCGAACACCTTGTGATCCCTTTTCCATGGGTTTAAGAGGCAGATCAATCGAAATATTGCAAAGCACGACACACCGCTGGTCTTTTGCCCTCGATCCTTAATCTTTGGAATTTTTGAGCAAGTGTGAGTATCTCAAAATTGCACTGTTGGATAGGTAATGGAGATGTTGCATGTGTGAGGAATTCGCAATTTGACTGTTGATTTTTAGGTAAAAGTTCGCGAGAAACACAATGGTGCCCCTGGTTTCTCTGAAATCAATTCCCAAGCTCAATAAAAGCTCTCAAGTTGAGACCAAAATGGAGGGGATATCACACGCTATCCTGAGAGTCCACCTCTACATCAAGACGACCTCTCTATGCAGAGATAGGGAGCAAATACATTGACAGGGCTGCCACTTTATTTGGGAACTCTAAAACACGGCATCACTGCTAATGTATTTGCTCCCTATGTTGCAGTTGCATGTAGAGTTCATCTTGATGCAGAGGTGGACTCTCAGGATAGCGTGGGATTTCTCCTCCATTTTGGCCTCACTTTGAGAGCTTTTTTTGCGCTTGGGAGTTGATTTCAGAGAAAACCAGTGGGACCATCGTGTTTTTCGCGAACTTTTGCATAAGAATCAACAGTCAAATCGCAAATTCCTCACACATACAACATCTCCATCATCATGGATCCGAAAGAAGTTCGACTGAAATACAGTGGACGAGAAGTCTTCGAAGCAGATGTCCCGAAATCACGGCGATAGCACTAATGATGCCACGCGGCTATTGTGGCGGCCAGGGCCAGGAAGCAGGGTCTAATCTTACACCGGGAGAGGGCCACTCGAGATGGAATGCGGGCCCATTGACGCGCTCGACCGCGGCCGCGAACGCAAGTGCGCGAGTACCTGTGGGCCGAATAATGGCGACAATCCCTGCAGGATATCGCCTCTCCGATCCCGAGTCTAGACCGAGCGAGGCGAACTCAACGACCCTCAGGGACGCACAATCTCCGACGAATTCTCGCTTTATAAAGTCTCGATAGACGATCAAAATCCCGAACCAATTACCATCTAAGTGTCGGGAGTCATCAGTCTTAAACTCATTAATTTGCTTAATTTTGAAATGAAAACTTGGCAGAAATGTCTCCCGAGGCAGGAAATTATGAATGGTGACACTCCATTCTGATCTAAAGCCCTGGATAGACGATCAAATTCCCGAACCAATTCCGATCAAAGTAGCATCAAAGTGTCGGGAGTCATCAGTCTTAAACTCATTAATTTGCTTCATTTTAAAATGAATACTTGGCAGAAATGTTTTCTGTGGCAGGAAATGATGAATGGTGGCACTCCGTTCTGATCTTACTTGAACAAAAAAGTGCGGCTCGTCAAAATTTGATGGTAGATGGTGACCATCAGTCATCAGCATGTCTACTTTGATCGGAATTGGTTCGGAATTTGATCGTCTATCCAGGGCTATAGCCATCGCATCGATCGAATATAACACATCTCGTCATCTTCCGGCCCAAGTATCCCAAACGCCATGCGACGTTTAAAAATTTTTCGCCGCCTTTTTATTTTTTTACCGAAAAATTGTTCAACGGAGCTTTCCGAAAATTTTACTGAATTTTCTTTGTGCTGCCGACAAAAATCAGTGATATTTTTAATCAGGTTCAACCAGCAGAATAAAAAGAAAGTCGTTTCTGTAAAATTTGACAAACGCGCCCGTTATCCGGGGCGTCAACTCCACGCCCGCACGAAAAAGGCACTTCGGACCACTTTTGAAGCGCCTCCATTGGGGTCTTCGAAAGTCCACCCTCCCCTCGTTATTCCTTCCTGTTAATTATCTGACAATCTGTTCAAGAAATAATTATGCCAGTTGGACTTTTTTCTCGACCTTGCACGGCCGTATCGTATGTAGGATATTTAATTTTTCAAAGCTCGTGTTTGTTTTTTAACATTCCAGACAAATACATTTTTTCTGTAATGAGAAATAGTCTAAAAATTGATTTAAAAGTGAGAAAATGCACCGCATTGTAACGTCATCTGGCGGCATTTCCTATTAAATCGCATGTATTTTGACAAATTAGGTACTTTGGTCACATCTCCTTCAATAATTGCGCGATTAATGAACCGATGGTATCCTCGTGATCAGTTCACTCCGTAGTTTCCACTTAAACATACAAGTCTTCAAATTTCAGACACACTGGAAAAAAACACATTGGATCTCGAGTCCAGACTTTTGAAAACATTGACAAAAAAAAGGACTCTTGATTCAATCAGATATAAGCTTAAATCAAAAGGAAATCCGCTCAAATGAAGAGGCCTGGTTCTTGATTTAAGCTTAAATCTGATTTAATCAAGAGTAATTTTTCTTGTCGATGTTTTTAAGAGTCTGCACTCTAAATCTAATGTGTTTTTTCCCCAGTGCACCTGCAAATTCCCCATTGTGGAGTGCAGTTACACCTTAATGTCAGGAAGGCGACGATTTAGTGTTTAAAAATCATGCCTAATAATGTCTTATCAATCATCTGACATATCAAATCCTCAGTCATCAGGGGATCTCGCCGAAACGCGTCAAGGAAATCAGGGAAATGTCAGGGAATTTCATTTTCCGGACTCCCGCGGCAGCCCTGAACTTGGAGCTTTTCGATCGG